GTGCAATGCTTCATGGGCGATGCAAACGATCCCCTTATAAAAATTATCTATCTAAGAATGGTCAAGTAATCCCAAGTTGACCAAAGGGGAAAGATTACGTCTCCATGCTATATTTGGTAAGCAATGGGCCAAGCTACGTAATATAAGATAATAATTTAATTAAGCTATTGGGGGATAGAAAGGATAATAATATTCACTAAATAGGTTATTTTATAAAATAGAGAATAAGAAAAGATGAGAATCTGAATTACACAATTAAGTAAATAAAGAAAATGAAGAAGAATAAATGATAATGTAAACAAAATATGGAAAAAAATTGATAATAATATGGAATGTTTAAAAGAATAAAATATATTAAAGAGATATAAAGAAAGAGAAGGGAGATGGTTGAAAGAAATGATTATAGTACACATGAATTTCAATAAGCGAAAAATTAGGACAATTGTATTATTGAGAATGTTGGTATATATGAGGAGAATTATAAAAAGAATGTAAAAAAATCCGGTAAGTAATGGTAAATAATGCTGAGATGTTTCAATGATAGGTTGAGAAGGATTGTAACATTTGTTTATAGGAAATTCATTTAAAATAGTATTGACAATATTTGGACACAAATAATAAGACATTTTGTAATTACAAGTTAAAAGTTTGAATTGAAATTTGGAAAAATTTTGGTTTGACGTTTGAAAAATAATATTATTAAATTTGGTTTTTGATTTTTTTCTTGAGGAAATTTAAGGGTATTTATATACTTTTTAAAACCATAGATACATATAAAATAGATAAAAAAAATCAAGATTATCTATATTATCTATGAGTCACAATTAATTTATAAGTTATTTAACCCAAACTAGTAATATTAATTGATTTAATGATGACTAATATGTATAATTGTGCTTATAGTACATAGTTAATATGATTTACTCCCTATAAACCATATAATTAAAGATTATATGATATTGTGTAATATTCCCATATTATTAAAGCTTTTATTATTGTATATTAAAATAAATTTATTAAAATTTTTATTTAAGCTAAATTTATTTCTGATATATAGTTTAGCAATGGTTTTAGTATAAAGTTTTTATCGTACGTATACATTACCGAAAAAATAAGTTCAGTTCTTGAGTGTACTTGAAAGCTTAAATAAATTAAACACGCGTGAGTCGCGTAATATACATAACAAAAAATGAAATTTCGATATTTACACAAGATCCTAGAATTTAATATTCCCTAATTTGGAGTTGAAGTGTGTACTATGCTTATGTTTCGGACAATAAAAAAAGTATACTGAAAAGTCTAAGTTATATGGAAAATTTGCAGGTGTAAGTATAACAAATTTATATACTGATTATAAGAAAAAAAAAAAAAAAACTCTTTCCCGTGGGAACCAAAATTCTTAGAATTCCGCAGTAAGACTAGTAAAATAAATTTTTTTTTTTTTTTTTTTTTGCTTTTTCTTACAAAAAATTATAATAAAATGGAGTCATACCGGGGACAAGAGGAGTTCGAAGAACAGCTCTTAAGAGANAAAATTCTTAGAATTCCGCAGTAAGACTAGTAAAATAATAATAAAAATTTAAATTTTTTTGCTTTTTCTTACAAAAAAAAAAATTTTAATAAAATGGAGTCATACCGGGGACAAGAGGAGTTCGAAGAACAGCTCTTAAGAGATGTCAAGACTTTTGTGACAAAAAACTTCAAAGAAGCTCAGTTACGACAAAAAGAGGAGCTGGATGATACCTTCGACAAAATTTTTTTCAGGACGCTTAAAACCCACAGGCTACTAGTTGAAATTAGTGAGATAACAGGTATAAAGGGTGAAAATGTAGAAATAATAGCAAGAAGTATAATGAGGTTTGCATATAGAATACAAAATAACGACGTTCAAAATATTGGAAAACAAAATTCTCGCCTTCGTTCTTGGCTGCACCAAGCGCAGCAAAAAAATCCGACACAAGATACAACGCTAAATGCAGAAATTGATAGCGAGTCAAAACACCAATCAAAAACGTCCAAGAACAAGGAAAAAAGCAAAAAAAAGAAAAACGTGAAAAAAATTAAAAATAGACTAGTTCAGGAGATTGTACTTCCAACAAAAGCCGATCAAGTCCCAGGTCAGGAGGCGCAAGGAACTCGGTCACGTGATATGCTTTTTTACGATATCCCAGTACGCTATAGCGAGACAGAAGTATGCAACGCAATTAAACAATTAGGAACGGTGCATAGAATTACGATAAAAAAACATTATAAATATCAATCGGTGAAAGCCGAGATTTCATTATTAGAAGAATACGAAGAGTCGTTCGTGAAAGGAGTGTGGAAAGAAAAGATACTGATTGGAAGCAACGATAAAAATAAAAAAGTCATTGATGTCCGTTGGTTCCATGGAGACAAGACAGTAAAAGACATAAAGGAAAAATGCAAGTGCAAAGCCTACAAAGTGATTCAAACGAATTACTACCAAGACATAGCGAGAAATAACTTCACCTTCGAATTTGGAAAAACAGCGTGTTTTGGAAATAAGACGGTTTTCTTAGCATATTTCAAAAATAAAGAACAACTCGAGGCAGCGATTGCCATGGATAAAAGTATGGATAACAAATGGGTAATACATGGAAGACGCAACGAGAGTATGGCGAAAATAGCCTCAAGAGAGGTGACAGTCAGATCTCTCATAAGCACGTCCCTGGGAAAAAACAACAAAGTAATATCCATTAACAACCATGGATCAACATCAGCTACGCCTAATACTGTCATACATACAACCACAGAAGAAGTAGTCGATACTGTTAACAAATACAGGAAGAATTTGCTGGATGAACCCGAAACACAAATTCAGCCCTCGGTAACGCCTACGACTAAAGGATACACTTCACCGGAGAATGTGGTTAAGATAATAGAAGAATATAGAGGAGAAGTTTTTATAGAACATAAAATAGCACCGACTCAAGAAGGAATTCTACCAGATTTATTAGACAAAAATATAGAAATACAAAAAAGAAAGGAAGCGCTTATATTAGAGCATAGAAGGTATGCTCAAAGAATGGAAGAGAAGAGGAAAATATGTAAAGAAAAGCCGATAAGTAAAGTTGTTACGCCTGTGGAATTACATGAATTTGCCAAAGTCAACGCCGATTGTACAGAAAGACTACAAAAGGAGAGTGATCGTCCGTATACGCTCTCAAACAATAACCCTTTTTTAAAGGATAAGGAAGACAAGTCACCTTTATCAGAGTCTTCGGACGATGATGAATGTTTAAAAGATGTCAAAAAGCGTATAAAGAAGAAACAAGGCGCAAGAAGTAGTGATTCGGAAGATGATTCAACCATAGATAGCTCGAGCGAAGTTGAAAAGAAAATGGAACTCCAACCTGAAAATACACCCGATACTGACAAAATAAATAAAACACCCTTGGAAGGTCTTAGTAGAGTGGTAAAAAAGGGTAGGAGTAGTAGAATTAAAAAATAGTTTTTTTTTTTTTGTTGAATAGCTTTCACCCAGATGTAATATTTTATATTAGTTCTATCTTTGGTTATGTTTATTCGCGCCTTGGTTAGATAACCCATGGCTTTGGTATGGAGGGGTTCAGGATTGTTTGATCCTGAATTTCAAGTATATTGTTATAATTATTTTGTATTGTGATGCGTTACATTTACTAATAAATTAATAAATACGTTTACCAAAAAAAAAAAATAAAAAATAAAAAATATACTGATTATAATATACTGCGTATCGATAAAATATGTTAGTTTGCATTATTACTCATATAAAGTCAACGATATCACAGTATCTAATCTCTAATCCATAATTAATATTATCAATATTTTATCTAATCACGCGTGATACATAACAAAAATGAAATTCCGATAGTTACACAAGATCCTATTTCGGACAATAAAAAAAGTATACTGAAAAGTCTAAGTTATATGGAAAATTTGCAGGCGTAAGTATATAATGATTAAAATATGTTAGTTTGCATTATTACTCATATAAAATCAACGATATTACAGTATCTAATCTCATAATTAACATGTAAAGTATTATCAATATTTTATCTAATAAAAAAACTTACTAGTATAATATATCAAATTATTGTATATAAGATATATAAGATATGAAATTACTTTGATATTTTGTTATTAGATGACGTAAAGAGACATGATAACGATTCGGATCTACTCAGGTGGGATATGAAAGCAAAATGTTTTTTTTTAATTTTAGAAACTGTTTTGTTATTGAAATGATTAAAATACGCAGAAATCATTAAATAGAAAGTTATTTACTATAATCTTTATTTAAAGTAGTAGAAGCTATACAAAATAATATAAAAATAATATTCTCTTTAATTTATTGGATAAAAAAACTGCAATTATCCGTAGCAGGGCTTTGACATTTATCAAAATAGAAATAATTCCAAATTTTTGATATAACTCAATTCCTTGACAAATTTTAATTTATTCGGTGCCAATTTTATTTTTCTAATTTCTTTTTAAATTTATCCTTATTTCACGTGATAATTGTATACTACGGATGTAAAAAAGCTATTTCTCACAATATTTCAGTTCTGTGCAAATCTTGAATCGCATAACGAAGGCTCCACCATTACACAATCAATATGACGTGATACAATTCAATTTTGAAATACTTGCTTCGCCAGGATGACTTTAAGTTATATTTTATTTAATAATTAAATTTGTAATTTTAAAGATTTAAAGTCATTCATTTTAATAATAAATATAGTAATATTAATATGATAAAATATAGAATAAATAATAAATTATACAAAATATATGATAATTTTAGAAAATAAAAAATATAAAAAAAATAATCAAAATAGTAGAATGATAGAACCGATTTTGAACTATTATAAAATTATGATTAGACTGATTAAAGAATGTAAAATTATGAACTCATCATTTCTAGTCTTTTTTGTGCATCTTTATTTCCTTTGTTAGCAGCACCTTTATACAATTCAACTGCCTTTTCATTATCAATTTCGGTTCCAATCTCATTCCCATAACAGCATCCAAGTATATATATTCTATTTAAATATCCTTTTTCAGCTGATTTTTTATAATATTCAAATGCTTTAAGTTCCACCTTGATGACATTTACCCAAACAATAATATGTAGCTTCATATCCATTTTCTACTGCGTTTTTTGTACCAATAAACTGCTTTGCTTAAATCTTGATCGATTCCTTTGCCTTTTTCGTATAAATCCTAGACCACATTGTGCATTATTATACTCTTGTATAGCTGATATTTCATACCATTCAATTGCTTTTTTTATATCCTTTCGCATTCCTCTTTCATTTTCATAAAAATATCCTATCCTATATTGTGCAGTTCTATTTCCATCTTCAGCTGCTTTTTTGTACCAATAAATTGCATTTCCTAAATCTTGATCAATTCCTTCTCCATTTTCAAATGAATATCCTAAACAATATTGTGCAAAACTACACCCTTGTTTAGCTGATTTTTCATACCATTCAATCGCTTTTTTATATCTTTTGTTTTTCTTTACCATTTTCATAAAAACATCCTAATTTATATTGTGTGAATTTATTTCCATTCTTTGCTGCTTTTTCATATCAATATAATGATTTATCTAAATCTTGGTAAATTTCTTCATATAGTCATCCAAGAATATTTTGTGCCTCATTATATTCTTGTTCAGTAGATTTTTTATACCAAATTTTATATATTTATACATTTTTTTTTTTGCTTTTTTTGCAAATATAATCCAGAAACATGCACTGTTTATTTTTTAAAAAAAATGTTATACGCCAGATAGTTCAATTATCCGATTTTTATTTTAAAAAAGAGTTTTTTTTAAACATATAAAGTTAGTATACTATTCTGAATAATTTTAAGAAGTTTCATAAATAGTGAATATAACGTTCCTAGTTCCTACGTTTCTTTTATATGGTGTGATGTCTAATAGAAAATAGGATGAACATGTTTTGTAATAAGTCAGTGTATGGTAAATGACGTAATGTATTATCATACATATTATGGTTAAGATTAGAGCATTTTCTTACGATTAATACTTTTTAGGATAGTCAGTTCATTTTATTTTTATCATATATTCTCTCTCCTAAATGCATTTAAGCATTCTGACCAACCTTCATCAATAAAATTAATAAATAAAAATAAATTAATGTTTAAGAAATGATATTTGGAATCAAAGTTTAAATATCATGATCTTCAACTCGCGAAAAGTATTTAAGCCGGATCTGAATTATGAACTTTATAGGTTAGTTTTTAATAATTATATAAATTATGCTCAATATATATCAATCAAATTTCTGGATTTAGTAATTTCAAAATTTTGAAATGATATAAAAAAAAATAATAGAAACCCTTTAACAAAAAGATGAAAAATACTTTATGAAAGAAACTAAAAGAAAAGCTAGACAGATGTGGTCATAAAAACCACGTGATACCACGTGATATATATATATTTTTTGAAAAATCGACTTCCTATTAGAAGTCTTTCTGGAGATTAATTTATTATATAAGTAAAAATATTTTAATCGTATATCCGTATTAAATCATTAAAATTTTAAAATTAAACTAGCAAAATTTACAGCTTTAACAACAATATGTTAGTCATTTTAATACAATTTTAAATAAATTATATAAATTATTCACTACGTGCCAATATTTTTGTGTCTACTAGCTAAAAAAATTTTCATCACTTTTTTTTTAAAAAAAAAAAACGATGATATTATAACATTTTTTATTTCAATCTACTTAATAATAGATGATGATTATCAAAAATTGGCTCAGTTACAATTATCTACAAATATTATATTGTTTTCCAATGTAATACATAATCATCTAAAGCAATATTATAATTTATTAATATTATCTCATTATTCAGTAGTCCGTCATTATCATTATTATCTATTTTGATCATTTCTTCCACTTCTTTTTCAAAAATTATCGATTAGTTCACCATCTTGTTGATAATACCCAAAATTACATTCTTTTCAAATAGCCATTGTTATTTTTTATAAAATAATTATTATTTAATTTTTTCTGCAACTTTAGTAGTAAAAAAATAAAAATAAAGAAATGTTTTTATTTAATATAAGAAATGTTTTAATATTTATGTCACTCACATGTCACATGAAAACGTGTTTATTCAATAAATCATTATTGGCTTTGCCAGATGTAATACAATTTATTTGACAATTGAAGTTGTTAACATATAGCTTCTAGCTCAGTAAATGTTTCATAAAAATTTTTTTTTTTGCAAATTTTGTCTTATCAAAAATATTGACTTTAATTTAAAATTTGTTATTACGGAAATATTGAAAAACATCCAAGAAAAGGCCAAGAAATTTATTGAAAATAACAAACATTAGGTAAATGCTATTTTATTTTGTTATTTATTACAAATAATATGATTTAAATAATAATTATATTTTATTGTTTATTTTAAATGGCGAATGTTATTATTCCTGAATCATGATCAGAGCAAGCAAAATTTATAATTTATTATTCATAAATATTTTCTCCAAAAATATAAATATGAGCGAATGGGTTTGTTTTCTTACATCATCAATCAGTATTCACTATCATATCTCTATTCATAGAGTACGAAAAGGAAGCATTAAGCTCATCAATCATGACGGATATATTCCCTATGTCCCTAGTTATATCAACACGAGTGTGCAAAAGCTCTAAACAACAGAATATTACAAGAGTACAAAATTCGTTGCAGTATATCAAGTATTTGAGACGTGAATTATCTGAGAGGTACTGCTGAGGATGAACGATTGGAAAGGCTATTACGAATAGTGACGAAGAACACCTTTCGACAGAAAAATGCTCAAAAACGTTTAGAGATGTTTTATTATTAATTTTCATATTAAATTTATAAACAAGAATTTCTTTGATTTTTATTCTTTTTGCTTTTGATCTATATTTCAATAAGTTACAGTTAAAAATTATATCACAATAAGTAAAGTTTCATTTTAAAATAAAATTTTTTATGAATATTTTTTCTAATATTATATACATAAATCGTTTATGTTATAATATAAAAATTATTTTTTTTTAGTGAAAATTTAATATAGGCCTCAAAAGAGAATATTTTGCACTGTCACTGTTTTAATATATACTTTAAAGTCAATAACTGTACATATTAAGTGCTATAACTAAACCACCCTGAATATGATTTCTTTTTATTAAAGTTATTTAAAAAGTATTTATTAAATGTGAATTAATAATAAATGACAAAGTAAAAATGTGACAAGGGATTCAATAGGATTGGTGATGTAAATATGTTGTCAACTTCAAAAGTTAAATAATTATTTAATAGATACTATATAGAATGGTTACGAATAATTCATAAAAAATGAGTGGTATGATCTTTATTTCAAAAATATCCTACATGTACTATCAAATTTCATTTTGCCACTTACACATTACAATAATTATCGATAAAAATCATTATGACTATTTTTAGCCAACGAAAAAATCACTTTATATAAAAAATTTATAGATTAAAAATATTTTAGTTAATCAAAAGTAAGAGTATATATATGTTTCAACACAACCATTCTAATTATAAAAAAAAATATTTAAAATCATGGAATCATTTAATTAAAAGACAAGTATTTCATTTTTTACAAATTACATGCTATAGTATAAAATCAAATTAGTATTAATTTAACTAAAAATCAAAAATCGAATTTTTAGATTTTAAAAAAAAAAATTGTATTTATCATGAGTCAATCTGGATATTTTTTAACCAAAGTATTTATCCGGATATCCAAAAAAAAATTATCTTGGTTCATCCGGTTGAATCATATATTTATAACAATATGCAAAATTCATCGGGACCAAAAGTCAATTTTATATAAGATCAATCATGAATCATCTTGATTATCTTGACTAGTATCTCCGATTTAGGAAAATTATTAGTAATTTTGTATGCAATATGATAAAGTGAATAGTAATTTTGAACTAACATGAAAAATTTGTTACACACTAATTTCCATTTAAATGGAGTGGAGAAGGTTTGCTTAAATAATTTACAAATTATCATCCTTAAATTAGTTTATTAATTTATCATCCTTAAATCATTCAACATTTTATTAAAAACAAATAAAATGTCTTGTCAACTTCCTTATGATTGTCTTAATGATATATTAGAATATTTAAATGATGATAAAAATACTTTATATTCTTGTCTATTAGTTAATCAACTTTTTTGTGAAATTGCAGTTAGAATTTTATGGAGGGATTTTTGGAAGTTTTGTAAATTTTACTTTTATGATAAATCTTGTGATATATCAGCATCAATTATTACTACTTTAATTAGTTGTCTTCCTAAAGAATCAAAAAAGCTTTTAATTAAGAATGGTGTTAATACTACCATTATGTTTCGGAAGCCTCCATTGTTTAATTATGCATCATTTTGCAAAGTTATTTCAATTTGTAAAATTAATAAAATGATTCAGTATTTACTTGTAAATCAGCAATCATCTGTTTTAGAAATCTTATCACAAGAAATATTAAAAATGTTTATGAATCAAATTACATCATTAAAAGTTTTGGATTTGAAGCATTCAAATTCAGTAGATATTAAATTTATTTATTTACCTGAAGCAAAAATTCATTTAGAAAGTCTCACAGAATTAAAATGTGGTTCGAATATTTGTTTTGAATTATTTTATCAAATGACTCAACTATGTCATAATATGCAATCATTAACTATAGTTTTTGAATCTCAAATTTCAAATTGGTTAACAGATTTAATTTCTTCACAAAATAATCTAAAAATTGTAATTCTTAAGCATTATAATAATTATGATGATAAAATAACCACTTCGTTAATTAAGCATTCTTTAACATTAACAAAGTTAGCATTATATAAGTGTAATATAACCTTATCATTTATAGCCATGTTCAAAAATTTACAAGAACTCCATATAGATTTATATTTTGATTATTCTGCTTTTGATCAATTACAGTATGTTTATTTTTCACAATTGAAGATTTTAAGAATCAATTACATATTTTCAACTGGCACTGGCATTGATATGCTGGTACACAGTGTATGTAAATTTTTGGAAATTAATGGAAAAAATTTAACAGAATTATACATACTTAATATTTACTACTATAGTTCATTAATGAATTTAACTCTAGCTAAACATTGTCCAAATCTTAGAATTTTATACTCTAATATTGAGGAGGAAGAATTATTGAAACTAATTTTAAATAATTGTCAACATTTAGAAATTATTAAACTTTGTTATGAGGATTGGCAAAGTGGTGAAACCTTATTCAAGATTTTAACAAATTATTCACAAAAATATTTTCATACTTTAATTTTAGATTGTTATTTTAGAAAGCAAATAAATTGTCTTCTTAAAGACTTGGAGGAATTTTCTAAAAACTGGCAAAATCATAATGTATCATATAGATCATTTTCACTGATTATTTTTGTTTCTAATCATCGCATTATTGAATCAAAAATAGATATGGAGGATATAAAAATAGCTTTTGATAAATATGTCAAATTAGGTATTATTAAGAAATTTGAAATTAAAATGGAAAAAAATTTTTGATTAACCTAATGAAATATGATATATTATTATACTGTATACTATTTATATGCAAGATATTTACTTTTAATGTTTATGATTAAATATTGTAACTGAATAATATTAGCAGTAATACGGAAATTTTAATTATAATTTGTGTATCATCATATAAAATAAAAAATTTGTTAATTGTAATAATTACTATAGAAATTAATTAACAAAAAAAAAATTGGTTTGACCAATTATTTTCTTTCGAAAAAAATTTATATATTCATTAAAAATATAAACTGTTTTAATTCAAAATTATTTCTTGATGAAAAAAAAATACAATAATTATGTTCACAAAACTTATTTTTATTTCTTTGTTACCAAATGAGATATATGAGATATTACAGATTACATTATAAGGAAAACCATTGGGAGTTTTAAGGAAATATGATACAAATCATTGAAATTAAAGTGATATCTTTTATTCAAAAGAATAATTCTGTATCCAAATGAGTTCCTGTATTTGAAGCTGAAATTATTTTAAGACTTTACAGGAAAATTTTTTCTTAAAGAATAACCTCTTCATAATAATGCTATTAGAAAGTAATCAAATTGTATTAATTATTTATTAAAACAGAAATGTGATTTAATATCATTTTTTTTTTTGTTTAAAAAAAATTCTATTATTTAGGTAGGTAATCTTGTAAACTAATATCAACTAAAATGAAAATATTAAGTTTTTATTACAATCTCATTTAGCAATAATATTATTAATCAAAAAGTTGTTGTTGTTTATAAATTCCTCTTGATAGTTCTAGTACTTAAATTCTAAATAATAAATTAAGAACAAATAATACACATATCCTGTTAAAAACTCATTTTTAAAAATTTTTTTTTGAATTTATATAATTTATATATAATTTATTAATTTTTCTAAAATAGAAATGAATTTTTTTTATTATTACATTGATTACATTATAATTATATAGTACACACAAAAATACAAAATTAATGATGAATAAGGTAAAATAAAACTATAAAGTCCATCCATCAAATTAAATGAAAATTAAATCAAAAATAAAAATAATTAAACACATTCATTCTAATTAGTAAAATAAATAAAATGAAATAAAAATAAAAATAAAAAATAAAATAAAAAATTTAGGACCCGAGTATCATAAGATCAGGTGCTGATGATGAACTAGAAATAATAGATAAAGAGTCTTGATTTTCATTATTCATAATAAGAGCTTCATACCAAGATTTAATATCTTCATTATCATAAGTTATAATTTCTTTATCAACACTCTCATTAAACCATGAATATAATTTTGTTTCTCTAAATTCTTGAGATTTTTTCATCCATTTTTTCATTAACTCAGGATCTTGATGAAAACAGATATATGGTGAATTATAGAATGTTAGACTATGATAAGAAATATCAAGTCTTTCAAAATCATTAATAAGTTCCGCTCTATACATCAAAAGTCCATGATTACCAGCTTCTTTAGCATTATTAAATGTATCACTAAATAAAATTTAAAAAAGTTAAATAATTATTTATAAATAAATACAAATTTAATAAGAATATTATTTACTTACTTCATCAATGCAATAATCATGTTAAATAAAACAAGTACTACAACAATATTTGCAACAAGAGCAAATAATTTTAATTGCCAATAATTATAATTATTCAAATCAATTGTATTCATGTAGTACATGGAAAGTATTGAATCCCATATTGTATCAAAAGGATTATCTTGGCTTGGTCCTGTTAAAGTTAAATTTTCAGTTCCATTATCTAATGTGAAAGTTGAAGTTGATGGATATACATCAAGAAGTGATGGATGTCCAAGAAGAATAAACCTATTTATAAACATAAAAAATGAAATTACTTTTCTTTTAATAGATAGAATTAATACAAAATAAAAAAAATCAAAAATTACATTGAATGTCCAAATCCAATTATTAAAATGAACATAAATGCAAAAAATGGTATAATCTTTTTTAAAATATTCCCAAATATAAATATATTAATTGCTATTACAGAAAATAATCGAAACCATAAGAGCTAAAAAAATAAATAAAAAAATTAATATATAAATTATATAATTAAAGAACCATAAAAATTATTAAGCGTACCAATTCAACCCAAAGTAATAATATAGTTATTGTAGTTAAAACAATAATTGTTTCATTACTGATTCCAATTGCCTTATCAAACACTCTCACTAATAATATCAAGGTAAAAACAATTATACCTAAAAAAATGCTACACAGGTCAAGCATATTGAATATTGTAAAATATTTGCTTCTATATTTCACCATTTGCATCAACTCAATTAATAACAGATATGTTCCAATATAATAAAAAATCACTATCATAGTTATATTCAAGCCATAATTTAAATTATCACTTAAATAAATCTGAGAAAGTGTTGAAAATATAATTAAAAATACTATGTATAAGCCCAAAGGTCCTACCCAATACTTCATTGCTTGACGCCATCTTGAATTTATAGTTGCTCCCATAGATGGAATATTAAAAAATTCATTCTCATTCTTTTCAATTTGAAGAAATGGACTAAAATCTTTAGCATTTAAATCCCTATAATAAGGTGGAATTAATATACTTCTCAAACAACGTAAACTGGCTATTGATGTTCCAATTAAGGTTTTTTTAGTTTTTTCTTTAGCTTTTGGATTGTAAGACGTAAAATTTGAAAGTGGAACCATATAAATATCGGGCAATATATTATTTCTATATTAAATAAAACCAATATCAATAAACATTTAAAAAAATTAGCATTAAATACTAATGAAATATATTAGTACCTCATTCTTTTATATCCAAAGATTTCTTTCGGTGATAAAAGCCGAGTAAGTGGCATATATACTTTAATTGCATCTTGATGAACTGATAATTCTTTAAACCTTTTAATTGGAAAATTATACTTCATTTCTCCAAAGCAAGGTTTATAAAGTAATAAATCCATATAATTAGCTATATAAATAGTTAAGATGAATTTTAATAAAAGTAACAATAATTAGAAAATTTAGAATGATAAAAAAAAATTATTGAATAATATACCATAATAATCATGATTAGATAAAGATAATTCTGGAAGAATTTTTGTAACATTTATCATCCAACCAATATGAGTCATGGAATTTTCAGAATAATATTCTAATAAATATGCTAAAATAACAGCATCTCGATCTAATAAATGAAAAATTGTTTAAGTTAAAAATGTGATAAATAATAACGATAGGGTAAAGAAGAACTAGAATATTAACCTTTACAGTATTTTAAAGCAAATTCCAAATCATTAGTTGATATTAGATCTTCGTCTTCTAATTTAAAATCATCATATAATCTCAGTTCATGATAATATGGATAGGAGACATAATTTTTTTGAGGTCTGTGTAACAATTCGGTATTTTTCTCTTGAGAACTAGTTTGACCATTTGTGCCAAATAAGATATATTTTATTAATGAAAACGAACGTGAATAAATTAGATACGCCATTAAAGGATATTGGACTTCCATAAGTTTCCAATTATCAGGATATTTTCTTATAAAGTCTTTAATAATATTTTTGATTCCGCTAACAAATTTTTGATGTTTTTCTTTAGAATCAACACGTCTTATATGTCTATGATTATATAGGTAGGCAAGTGATTTACATGCGTGAATTATAATAGTGGTCATGTCATTCTTAATTTGAAATTTAGGTCTGCTTTCGAATGGAATATTGCTGATGAAAATATAAACGAGGTCCGAATTTTCAAAACTTTTAAAATCTTCAAAATCTTTAAAATTTTGTGACTTGGATTTCCACAGTTGAATACTATTCTGACCGATTATAAGAAGGAATTTCTTGTCATTGTTAAGAAATCTACCACTAATATATTCAGCTTTATCATTCCATGGTTCTATATCATGTGAATAATATATATGCTCATGCTTATCAATTATGCTGTTATTTTCATCAAAAGTGTCCATATTTATAAACATTTCTGGTATAACTTTAAATTGATTCTCATTGTCCTTATCATTAAGAAAAACTACTTTCCCATTTGCTTTTGCTATAGTATAATAATGTTCATCATATTTCAATAAAGTAAAAATATTATCTGATAAAGTAATATCATCTTTGGGAATAGGAAAATAATCATTTAAACATCCTGACATAAGCCAAATATGAAATTTCACATCACCACCTTTGCCTTGTTCAATAATGAATAATTTTTTATCATCATCAATAAATTCTAAAAATATAATTTCACAAATATCATTAAATTTTTTTGAAACAACCTCTAGACCACTTTCCATTAAATAAATTGTAATAATATTATCTCCATAGGAATAAGCAAATAATCTTGAATCAGTTGATATTGAAAAAATTCCAGGTTCATTATCATTTGAAATTAAAAAATCTTCTTCACGATGTCTATGAAAAACATTTACTAACTGTAAAGTATTAATATTATATATTTCAATATTTTTTATCTTTTGATGATCATTCGTATCAATCATTAAAAATTCCTGATATCTAGATTTTAAGATATATTTCCAATTAATTTTTGCATCCTTGATATTTTCTAATTTTTTAAATAAATTTTCGGGTAATAAATATGTATTACTTTTTGATACAGAAATATTTTTCCTTAATTTAATCTTAAACTTTTTTATCTTAACACAATTCGTACAAACAAGTGTTGCACTATTCTTTTTAAAACTTTTTAAAAAGGTAACAACTCCACCAAGATGAAATATTGAAGTGCCATTGTCGTAACAATTTTTGTTAAGTGAAAATTTAAAAAGTCTTATCATCCCTTTACTATAAGTCCGAGATAATTGATATTGCTTACTATCACCTCTTAGAATTTTGGAAACGTAAAAGAATTCAGGCAAGGCGAGAATGAGAAAGGGAATGCCTATAAATAGTACGTAAGGAAGAGGATTCGAAACAGGATTTGGATCAATAAAAAACAAATTGGTACAATAAGAAACAATTTCGATAGGAATATGAAGGAGAGAGTAATGAATCTCGCGTATATTGATACTAGATAATCGTAAATAAGCTTTTTGAAAACTGCCTTCCTCAATGGTTTCTTCTTGATTCATATCATCGTCAGTTATACAAGAAATTGCGACCAAGCCAGCGTCATTGTCAATGATATCTGAAACTGCTAAAGACCACCCAAGAATATTTTGTGGTTTTTTATCAAAGAATTGATTATTATCAACCTCTATTGTTGTTTTTACTGTCCTTGAATCCATCGCTTTATCATTTTTCTCATTTTCTAAGACATTCTCAATCGATATACAAGATTTATCTATAAAAAATAAGACAGAAAAATTTTAACCTTTTTATTTTTATTTATTTACAGTATATACATATATATATATATAATAAATTATTTATAACTTACATGGATTGAACGTTGCAATTAACGAGCCATCCGGACTAATGGACACATAAGTTATTTTTTCTCCGTAACTTCCATTTTCCAGATCTTCTGTCATATTATCTCTTTTTGTATAAAACGAAAAAAAAAATATTTCAAAAAAAAAAAAAATATTTTTTTTTACAGTTCACTTACGGGTTCTGATAAAGATATATTCACCTTTAATAATATTAAGATTCAAGATTAATACTTTTTTATTTTAAAGTCCAGTTCATTTAAGTTACAAATTAAGGAAAGGTATGTACCACGGCTGTGCCGGTTATTTAGTATTAATATTTTTGGTCATGCTTACGTCATGTGCCATCAAATTGTTGATAGTCGTTTATAGTATGGTTTCTAGCTAAAATAAGTAAACAATAAGGATTTTGAAATAGAATATTCCATGCAATTAACATGTGCCGATCTTTTCCGGACCGGAAGAATTCATTGATTTCATTCAGGTTTCAAAAAAGTGCCATCCAATATCAAAATTCTGGGTTAAATAATAATAAATAATTTTTTCTCGGTCGTAAATATGCATAATTAGGGTTAATTTGTACCTTTCATGAGTCCTACCTCCTACTATATCTTTAAAACCGAAGTTCTAAGTCGTACTATATATGGGCGCTTAACCAGACCGAACAATGCATAAAAAGGTAATAGTGCAGGTAAAAAAAAATTATTTCTCTAAATGAATAATATTTTTAGTTATAATAACCATATTATAGTCTGAATTATCCTAAAAATAAACTTAATTATTTATTTCTTAAAAAAAATTTAACTGCTAAGTGCTGATCTTTGTTGGCTGATTATGTATTACTCAGGCTCTGTTATGTTACAAAAGTCTGATCATCGGATATTACCGTTAATTTTGTGTTTGAAATTATTACGTCTTGAAGGTCATGCTTTAATAATGATCATCACATGTTGCTTTATACGTAATAGTCTACAATGATTAATATTTGTCATACATATTTTACGGAATATTATAATAGAAAAATTTGCTAATACCTTTTTCTAATCCGCAATTATGATTTGCTGTTTATTCTTATAATGTGACTTTCAATACCTTGATAGTTCTAAATTACCTTCCAAAGTTAAAAAAAAATAAATAAATTTTTAAACCGCCTCTAGGAAAAAAATGGTAACTATTTTTACTAAAAAAAATTACTTTCATCCAAAAAAAATAAATTTATAATATTAAGACGGATTTTTCTCGACATTGAAATTTGATAATTTAAATGGTTTAAATAATTTAGACGCCAAAAAAATAAATTATAACAATTAAATCTATAACTTACGACCAGCATTATATATAAACTCATTATATACTGTAAGTATAGTAAATTCCAAACATTTTTATTAAAAAAAAAAAGATACACGCTGCGCTTACTACGCATACACAATACGTCAAAATAAAAAATACCGTAAATAAATAAATAGTGTCATAGTACCATATGATCAAGTGTAACGTTGCCATTATACTTATTGTACATAAAAATGTATCAAAAAAGATTTTGAGAAACAAATTATATTAATTTATACATATAATTATTATAGTCTAGAATATGAATCTGGACGATAATAGTTATTTTTCAGATCCAAAGATGCTTATGAAAATACCTCAAAAATGAGGAACAATGATTATTTGGACCAATGGTCTGGTTAATTATTTTATATGGCGAGAGGGAATATCAAATCCTTCAATAAGTTCTTTATACATAAAAGTCAAATAATTACAGTATTTCACTAAACTAATTGTTTTATTTTATAAAATTTGTTGGTAAATATTATATATATATGAATACATTATATACCCATCAATTCAATTATCATTTTTAAATAACATCGCCAAATAATACTACATGAAATGATTTTTTTGCGTATAAAAACAAAAAGTCGATCTTTCCTTTTTAGATACTCCCAGGCGGCATTACGTAAATCCAGCCCTGAAAAGTTACATAGAGCTAGTAAATGAGTGCCGATCTCTAATTATCTATTATACTAGGGTCCAAAAAATTACCAGGTCCGATCGTTAAATAAAATGAGCTTAAATGTAATAAATGGTATAATATTTAACTATTTTTTCCTCGCTTTTTTAAAAATAGTTTGATACCCCAATAATAAATAAATTGAAAATTTAACAAATTAATTGAAGACATGGTTAATATTTTGAATTTCGCGTCTTCGTTGTAAAGAACAATTTCTTTAATTTTTTTTTTTTTTTTTTGGTTCAAATTTACGATAGCAGCAACATAAGACATTTTCAAACGGTGAAAATAGTATAATTACGATTATTTATAATAATGATTTAACCTTTAACCTTTAATAGTGAATGCTATATATAGCTAAAAGTGTATTCACCTAATTTACACGGATGAGCTTTATGAACTTTTTTTAATTTTTAATTCAGGCTTATCAGGCCCGTATTTGAATTTGCGGCTAGCGCAAAGCAATCGATATATTGTTCTGTTATTTACTTTTAATAATGCCTTTTAACAAGGCAATTTTCAATGTTCTATGGGAATATGATTGTTTGTGTTTTCATAATTTGAGCGATATACCATAATTATCTATCAAGAACAGCACCTTGATGTATATAAAAGGTCCTTGGATCAACATACGAATGATCATCAGAACTTGTGACTTCATTTACTACAAACATTACAGATATGATACGTCGTGTAACATACATTAATAAATATTTGTGTCGATTGTTTCGACCCGTCGTCTGTCTTTTAAAACTTCCTTCTCAAAATGCCCAAGTTAGATAGGGATGTTCTTTATTTAATATTCGAAGAGTTACAATATGATAAAAGAACTCTTCATTCATGCCTTTTAATTAATAGAACTTGGTGTGAAACAATTATTCCAATTTTATGGAGAAATCCTTGGGGATACAATTTAAATATTGAAAAAGAAAAATTATTATCAAATATAATTATTTCACATTTATCAAATAAATCAAAAATTAGTTTAAAACCCAATATTATATATCAAAAACCTTTATTTAATTATATTATTTTTTGTAAACATTTAAATTTAAGTAATATTCAAAAAATAATCAGTATTATTGATATTGAATCTGAAATGAAAAGTATTAAGAAAGAAATTATTACCCTTTTTATTAAAAGAAATACTAAATTTACTCATATTTCTATACCTTATAAATTTGATTTTCAATTACATCTTATTCCTAAAGCAAAAGATCATTTTTCAGATATTAAATTTCTTAGTTGTAGTACTTGTGTAAATAATAATATTTTAATTGGAATAATGAAAATATGTAAATCTATTGAAGAATTGGAACTTATTGTTGGTGAAGATAATAATAATAATAATGGAATTATTAAATTAATTAAATCCCAAAAAAATTTATTAAATATCAATTTAATTTATCCTTCATACACTTATGATGATAAATCATTTGGTGAAATTCTTGAAAATTCATTGATTAATCATTCAAATACTATAGAATATATTAAAATAAATAAATCACCTTTCACTAAAATTCTTACATCTTTCATTAATTTACAAGTTTTAGAATTGGATAATATTCAAAATACAACATTGGATTATTTGGAGAATTTATCTTTACCTTATTTACGTATTTTAAGAACTAAAAGTGTTTCTATCGAAGTTTCAACAATTTTAATTAAAAGTACAGGAGGTTTTCTTAATGAAATAAAAATTGATTCTACATTTGGTAATGTTTATAGTAATAATAGAATTATTCAAGCAATTTATAATAATTGTCCTTTTCTTAAATATCTTAAATTAATTCTATTAAATGATAATATTTCAGAATTAGAAAAATTGATAATTAATTGTAATTATTTAAATGGATTATTTATTATTATTGATAGTTTAGCAGCATTTGATTGGGATAATTTATTTAAAATATTAACTGAATCTTCACCAAATAGTTTATTTAAATTTAAATTTTATTCTTATGTATCAATTAATTTAGGTTCTTTAAAACAATTTTTTGAAAATTGGAAAGGTAAACATCCCATGTTATTACAATTAAGTCGAGTAAAAAATGTTGAAGATTTGATAGTAAAATATAAAAAGAAAGGGAGAGTGAAAATATATAATAATAATGTTAATTTTGATGAAGGATTTGAATGGATTTAATTAACCAAGTTATTTATTTATTATATAGTACATATTAAATATATTAATACCATGTTTAAAATTTTATATCTATTTACAAATTTCGTCAAAAATTATTAAATAAAATATTGAAGTGAAAATTTGTATTTAAAATTAATAATAAACCATAATATAATATGTCAGTACTTTATAAATAATTCATATATTATATGTTAATTTATCTTTATTAAAATAAAATATCTTAAAATTAAACATCAAAAATAAATAAATTTAAAAAGAGAACTAAAACCAGAGATCATCTTCGGATATATCTTGATTTTCATTATAAGGCGCAGTACCTGAGATAAGTTTATGCCAACCTTCAATGTTTTTCATCATCAAATTTTATACTTTCTTTCATCAAGAACCAGATATCATTTTCAGATATATCTCGATATTTATTATAAGGTGTACCTGAGATAAGTTTATACCAATCTTCAATGTTTTTATCATAAAATTTTATTTCTTCATCCATACTCTCTTTAAACCATTCGTATAATTTTGGTTCTACACGAGATGCTTCTTTCCAATATTTTATCAAATCAGAATCTTGATGAAAACATATATATAATGGACCATTATGTAATTCGCTAAAGTGAGTACTCTCATAATCATGAATAAGATCTGTTCTAAATAACAAAAGTCCATCAGTACCATCTTCCTTTGCTTTAGTAAATGCATCACTAAAATATTATTTTGTAAAATCGAGTTAGACAAATAAAATATTATAATAATATTATATTCAAATTATTAGATAGTAATACTTACTTCATCAATGCAATGATCATATTTAATAAGACAAGAACTAAAATAACATTTGCTATGAAAGCAAATAACTTTAATGGCCAATAATCATAATCACTAAAATCAATTGTATTCCAATAGTATGCGGAGAGTATAGCATCCCATATTGTGTTAAAAGGATTTTCTGGAATTTCTCCTGTTAAAGTAAAATTAGTAGTTCCATTATCTAATGTGTAAGTTGGAGCTGATGGAATTAAATCAAGAAGTGATGGATGTCCAAGAAGAACAAACCTATTATAATAAATAAAATAAAAGTTAATTTACTTAAACTGAATACTATAATGCAAATAAAAAAACAAAAATTACATTGAATGTCCAAATCCGATTGTTAAAATTACCATAAACACAAAAAATGGCATAATCTTTTTTAAAATATTTTCAAAAATAAATATATATAATGCCACTTCCGCAAATAATCGTAACCGAAAAAGCTTGAGAACGAATAACAAATTATAATTAAAACAACATTATTATAAGTGAAATAAAATTTTACATAATGATTATTATACACACCATTTCAGTCCAAAGTATTAGAGTAGTTACCGTTAATAAGACAACAATATATTTATGATTAATTCCACTAGTTTCATTAAATGATTTTACAAATATCAGAGTGAAAACACTTATTCCCAACACGATACTGCATAGATCAAATATATTAAATACATTTCTACAGTAATTTAATCTATACCTATATATTTGCATAAACTCAATTATTAATAAATACGTTCCAACATAATAAAATATTCCAACCACTGTCATAAACGTAGCATTGTGCTTATTTTGATAATCATTATCACTTAAGAAAAGTTGAGAAAGGAATGAAAATAAGAATAAAAATGTAGTATAAAACATTAAACGTATCCCCCAATGATTTCTTGCCTGCAACCATTTTGAAGTTATAAATGCTTCGACTATTGGAGCATTAAAATATTCCCGGTTGCCCTTATGTTGATTTTTTTGAAGAAATGAGAAAAATTGGCTAGATTCTTTGTAACTGTATCCCCGTAGAAGTAATAATCTTAACAATAAACGAAAAGATTTTTTAATTATTCTGATTATTCGTTTGTCTTCATCTTTTGAATCATGCGTTGTCTCTTTAAAAAGAAATGGTACAATATAAATATTTGATAATTCTTCATTCCTATATTTTATTTTTAAAATTAAAAATTTTAATAATGGATTTAAAATTTTAAACATTTTAAATTATTACTTACCTAATTACTTCGTATTGAAGAAAACTTGCAGATTTCGCTTCTATAAGCCGTGTAACTGGCAAATGTACTTTAAATTTTAATGAATCATATGATGTTTTAAATCTTTTATTTAAAAAGTTGAATTTCACTCCCCCAAAACAAGGTTTATAAAATAATAATTCCGAATAATTTTCTATACGAGTATTAATCATTATCAATTAAAAAAATATACAAATAAAAACTAACAAAATCAGTATATAATAAATTTACCAGGTAATTTCGGAAAAATTTCTTTAACATTATTCATCCAACCAATGTGATCCTTAGCATTTTCAGAATAATACTCTAGAAGATATGTCAGTATAACAGCATCTTGATCTATAAATAATAAATATCCAAGTTAAACTACATTCAATATTAATGAATAATGACAAATAGGAAACACTAACCTTGATCTAATTTCAAAGCTAATTCCAAATAATTTAATTTCAAAGATTTTAATTTCAAAGATAAATACAAATCATTTAATTTCGAATTATTTAAATTCAAATCTTTTAATTTCAAATCTTTTAATTCCGAATATAATTCCGAATCAATTATATTCAAATCATTCAATCTATTTAAATTAAAATCATTTAATTCCAACTTATCTAATTTTAATTTCAAAATATTTAATTTCCGATCTAAGTTCAAATCAACTAAATTAAAATCATTTAATTTCAAATTATTTAAATTCAAATTATTTAATTTCAAAGCTAATTCCGGATCAATTAAATTCAAATCTTCCAAATTATTTAAATTCAAAGAATTTAAATTCAAACCAGTTGATTTCAAACCATTTAATATTAATTTCAAATTATTTAATTTCGAAGCTAATTCCGAATCATTTAAATTCAAATTACTTATTTTCAAATCATTTATTTTCAAATTATTTAATTTCGAAGCTAATTCCGAATCAATTAAATCCAAATAATTCAACTTTTTCAAATCTTCTAAATTCAAATCTTCTAAATTCAAATCATTTAATTTCTTCTTACTTAATTCCAATATCTTAAATTTCAAAGCTGATTTCGAATTATCTAACTTCAAATCATTTAATTTCAATTTATTTAAATCCAATTTTCCTAATTTCAAATTATTAAAATTTTCTAAATCCAAATCATTTGAGTCCAAATTATTTAATTTCAAATCATTTAAATTCAAATCCAAATCAATATCATAATCTGAAACACATTTGCTTTGTGGTTTATGTAGCGAACTAGCATTCTTCTTTTGACTATTGTCTCCAAACAGAATGCATTTTATTAAAGAAAATGAACGCGAAATAATTAGATATGCCATTAAAGGGTATTGAACTTCCATAAGTTTCCAATTATTAGGATATTTTTTGATGAAGTCTCTAATAATATTTGTGATTCCACTGACATACTTTTGACACTTGTCTTCAAAATTAGTATTATTTAATGTATATAGATAAGCCAGTGATTTACATGCGTCAATTATGACAGTTGTCATGTCATTCTTAATTTGAAATTTAGGCCTGCTTTTGAATGAAGTCTTGCTGATGAAAATATAAACGAGGTCCGAATTTTCAAAACTTTTAAAATCTTCGGAATCTTTAAAATTTTGTGATTTAGATTTCCAAAGCTGAATACTCTTTTGACCGATTATAAGAAGGAATTTCTTGTCATTGTTAAGAAATCCACGTGTCCATGGTTCCGTATCAGGTGTATAGGTATTTTCAATCCATGGTTCCATATCAGGTATACATTTTTTATATTCAGTTACAAAATCCTTATCTCCAAAAGATGTGGGCATTTTTATAAGTTTCTCGCATAAATTTTTAAACTGGCTCTTATCGTCATCATCCTCAACTTTAAGAAAAATTACTGAATTATACTCATGTTTCAATAATGCAAAACTACTATATAATGGAATAGGGGATGAAAAATAATCATTTAAGCATCCTGATATAACCCAAACGTGTAACTTCTCGCCACCTTCTCTTTTTTTTTCAATAATGAACAATTTTTCATCTTTAATAAATTTTAAAAATTTAATTTTAAAAATATTATCAAATTTTTTTAAAACAACCTCAAGACCATTTTCCATTAAATAAATTGCAATGGTATTATTTCCATAAGAATAAGCAAGTAATCTTGAATCAGTTGATATTGCAAAAATTCCAGGTTTATTGTTCTTGGTAATCAAAGAATCTTGATATTTATAAAAAACGTTCACCAACTGTAAAGTATTGATATCATAAATTTCAATATTTTGCACTGCTTGATGATTATTTACATCAACCATTAAAAATTCCTGATATCTAGATTTTGAAAGATATTCCAAATTATGAGTTGCATCTTTAACATTTTTTAGTTTTTTATATAAAATTTCGGGCAATAAATAGCTAGATTCAACTTTTTTTCCACTTAGTCTAATAATAATCTTATATATAATTCCAGGCAATAAATAGCTAACAACAGATTTAACATTTTTTCCACTTAGTCTAATATTAATCTTATGTATTCCGATATAATTCGTGCAAACGAGTGTTACATTATTCTTTGAAGTTTTAGAAGTTTTTAAAAAGCCAATTACTCCACCAAGCTTGCTCTTGTGTATTGGAGATATTTGAGCATCAGAGAGGTTAGTGGAATCATTAAGTTCGAATTTATATAGTTGTATCGTTCCCTTGCTAGAAATCCAGGATAATTTAAATTGTTCAATATCATCATCACTAGAGTAAGACGCATGGAAACGAAAGAAATTATATAAATACAGTAAAACAAGAAGGCAGAGAATGAATACACTTAAAAGGATAGGAAGAAAGAAAAAAATAACAAAAATGAGCAAGAAAAGGACAATAAAATAACGGTTGAATAATGCAAAAATATGTTCTCGTAATTGTTTTATTTGAAAAAACGCCATTCGAAATTCATTAACTTCTTTTGGATTCATGTCTTCTTCAGTTATGCAAGAAATTGCAACAAAGACGATGTTATTGTCAATGATATCCGAAACTGCTAATGACCATCCAAGAAAATTAACGTTATCGTCAGAGAGTTTCTTCCTATCAAAAGATATTTTTGCCTTTTTATTTATCGCCACGTTTGTAATTGTTATACGAGAACTATCTGAAATAAAATAAGTTTAATTTAATTTTGCATTATTTTATTTTTATTTATCTTTTTTTTTTTATTTTTCTGAGCGAAACAAGATATGATTACGAAAATATGCGGTAAAGGCTATTATAATTCATTAAAATAATCATATTAAAGGCTAACGCGTACATAAACACAATATAAATTTACCTGAATTAAACGTTGCTACAATCGAACCATCCGGACTAACGGCCACAAGAGTGTCTTCATTTTTGAAGTCAACGTAATCTTTTACAACGATGTATTCATCGTCATATTGAATTTTATCGTATTCATCGTCATATTGAATTTTATCGTATTTATCGTCATATTGACTTTTATCTAAGTATTCTTTTTCTTCTTTGTCGATTACAATAATTTTGTGGGACATGTTTTTCAAGATGTGAAAAAAGAATTTTTTAAAAAAAAATTTCACGAAGAAATTTATTTTTCACATATGCCCACTTTAATTTATTTATAAGGTTAAATATCTGCAGCGTCTGCACAAGACTGACTTTGTAAAATCCTAAATTTGGTAATCTAAATGATATGAATCTTATCACAAATATTACCCCTTTGTCCTCTTACCTAATAAAAATAAAAATAAACGTGTGTAATAATTTAACTCCTTAATTGTTTCACTTAAATGAATAGGGACAAATTAATTGTCATCGGGAGAAATAAAAATTGAATAACGATAAGGCAATCAAATATTTTGATCACGTGATAAAATTAGTAATTCTTCAAATTTTCGCATAAAAATGATAGTGAAAATAATAAAATTATTAGTGAATAAACTTTTATTTTCGTGATAATATCAAAATGTTATCTTAGAATTGCTAAACTGGTTCAACTGGTTCTGTGTATCACTTACAGCAACTGCAGATCAGCGAACAATGACAAAAATGTATCCCATAATAAAAAATAAGATTATCATAAAACTTAGAATTTCAATCGGGAATTTATTTAAGCAGTTCCCTTAAAAGTAAAATTTCAATGAAAGTAATAAGTGTACAATACTTTATTATTCTATATAATAATTTATATTTATTTGCAGAAATGGCGGTACAAATAGATATAATAAATGCAGAATGGCTTAATTTGACTCGTTCCAATTAGAAATGTCTGCTATGAGTAAAATAGAACAATATTAAAAAAAAGCCGAATTATTTAATATTGTCAGTTCAAATGAGAATTCAACAAAAAAAAATTCCATAATGGGTATATAATACTTTCGCCATATTAACTAAAATAATATCGTATAATACAAAATCAGTTTATTCGATTACATGGTTAATATTTTTATTTTATAAAAATAAATTTATTAATATATGAACTGTGAAGGATTTATTATTATAAGTATTTCGTTAAAAGTATACCAATCCTAAAATTTTGTTTATTGATATCGACATGCAACAAATTTTTGGTATAACGATCATTTTTAGGTATAACAATCATTTTTAGGTATAACAATCATTTTTGGGTACAATAATCATTTTTGGTATAACGATCATTTTTGGTATAACGATCATTTTTGGGTATATCAATCATTTTTGGGTATATGAAATTTACGTAATAAAAGTGAGATTATGATTGATAAGTAAATTTGTATGTTTCAAAACTTATGGCATATTTCTTTGTTCAATTGATTAGTCGATTAGAGACAATAGAATTTAAATTGATTAAGGACAATAGAACTATAATTTATTATTAATCGAAATTAGGGACGCTGTATTATATTTAATTTAAGTGTATAAATTTTTGAATTGTTTTAAATGTACTGCGTCCGTAATGTCGTTAAACTATTCTTTTTTGAATTTTTATTGGTTAAGTATTTATTGTTATATTTGAATGTTGATAGAATTTTTATTTTGTAATGTTTATATTCATGATTTATATGATTTGTTGGCTGCCAATCGTATTAAAATGATTCGAATTTAGTGTAAATGTATAATGTAATCAGCAAATCATAACGAAGACGGGGATCAGCATCTTAAAATGGAAATCACATGTCATTTCAAGTCAATACAATAACGTTAACGATTTTTTTTGTCAGCTAAAAAATGATCAACAATTGGATATTTAAAAATCACATATTCAGATACATATTTTTTTTTTTTTTGAACCAAAAATAAACAACAATCAGATAATTAAGCTTAAAATGATTAATAAGTGAAATAACTAAGCCAAAAATGATTAACAAGCAAAATAAACCGAAAATGATCAAATGATAAAAAAAATTATGTTTAATAGCTAGTTAAGAGTAATTTCTCTTTTTTTTTATAGATATGTTAAATATAAATAAAAAATTTTGCAAACAAAATGTAAGTTATGATTAAGCTAGAAAAACTCCGGCGGGCGAAGCGAGCCAAATGAAATTGCATCGTCATAATAAATCTCATGAATATTTAATACACAATCACATGATCTACCAGTAATATTACAGTTCTAATAATATTATGATTACATGTTTAACGTTAACTTGTTTAAACTAAAAAAAAATAATAATAATAAAGATCGACATGAGAAAATTTGGCAAATAAATATAATTAAAATAGTGCATTATTAAGATTTATTTGCATTGTACGAGCATTAGGTGATCGGTAAACGTAAAACTGCGAAACCTTGTAAAATTATGCAAAAAAAAAGAATAGGCTAAATTGTACATTTATGATTGAATGTTCAATTGTAAAAATGAAGTATATTTATTTCAATATACCCTAATAAATGTATAGTACTAGAACGCAACTGGCTAAATCCTTTATTAATAAAGTAGAAGAAAATGTAATTTTACAAAGATCAGAAAACACTTATTTTCTGTCATGATAAAGAATAAAGTTGAAATGAGAAGCGAATTTATTTAGTATAATTATTGAAGTATATATTTTTATAGAAAAATATACAGTAACTAGTTGTTAACGTTAGAGTTAAATATTTTGAATGTTGATAGTGAAAATAATAAAATTATTAGTGAAATCTTTTAGATGAATAAAAAGTGATAAAATTTTTGTATAAAATTTTGAATTAGAATACGATTACAGAGCTAATCCATTCTGTTTGCGGACTTTTAATTTAAAATTTCCGGATTTGAAAATATTAATCAAAACATCGCCGAAGAGATGTTTCACCGAAAGGACGTTTCATCATATTTAAGTAGCACAAAATCTATCAATCATCATGTATACCTGCTAAAAATATCTGCTAGAATAAAAAAAATGGAACAATATTAAAATGCGTAACAAATAATATTATGACGAATTGAAAATCAATATAATTTATCTATTTTGTTAGTATAGATGAAACTAACCTTCTTTAAATTATTTTTTGATAGAAAAGGAAATCGCTTGCCATATTTAATTTATTCTTTTCTTACTTCGTAATAAAGAAAAGTTGACTCAAAAATTCAAATAAAAAAGGAAATCACTTTCCATTTTTATTTATCTTTTTCTCTTTTTGAAAAATTAATATCTATTTAATTACAGACGCATTAAAGTCTAACATGAAAAAATAAATACTGTATATCTTTAAAACCCTTATTATTTTTAAAATCTGAGTTTTCGATTATTAAAAAAAATATCAAATAGATTATATTAAAAAAAAATTATCGAATTATATACTGTATTTCATATATCTTATTCGAGAGCGGGTTTCTAATATGAACTATACATTTGTGAGCGTTAGAATGTAGTACCTGAATTAAAATTAAGTATAAGAAAATTCAACATATCAAAAATTGTATAATTATGCGACGCCGCTATTATAAAATGGCTTTAATAAATTTCTATTTTTTATTAAAAAATATTTTTCGACAGTTAATACCGGACGTAGAAATTCTTCTGAACGGGTATTACAAAACTTAAAATTCATGTGTAAGCATAGATCAGGCGCAAAAACACGATAATTTTATCTTTGTCAAAAATTAGTTTCTTTGTTGGTCACATGTTTTTAAGTTAAGCGTAGTTTTAAAAAAATTTTATCTTTTTTTATTGGCTTTTTTTTTATAAACAAATTTTGTAGAGAATTTTTATTTTTAATATAGGCAAAGGCTTTGTTTGATAGAATTTCTTTGGGAATTTTTTTAATAAAAAGATTTTTTTTGATAAAAAATTTCGTTAGAAAATTTTTTTATTGATAGGGACATTTCTGAGATGTGTATAAGAGACAGGGTATGAACTGTGAAGGATTTATTATTATAAGTATTTCGTTAAAAGTATACCAATCCTAAAATTTTGTTTATTGATATCGACATGCAACAAATTTTTGGTATAACGATCATTTTTAGGTATAACAATCATTTTTAGGTATAACAATCATTTTTGGGTACAATAATCATTTTTGGTATAACGATCATTTTTGGTATAACGATCATTTTTGGGTATATCAATCATTTTTGGGTATATGAAATTTACGTAATAAAAGTGAGATTATGATTGATAAGTAAATTTGTATGTTTCAAAACTTATGGCATATTTCTTTGTTCAATTGATTAGTCGATTAGAGACAATAGAATTTAAATTGATTAAGGACAATAGAACTATAATTTATTATTAATCGAAATTAGGGACGCTGTATTATATTTAATTTAAGTGTATAAATTTTTGAATTGTTTTAAATGTACTGCGTCCGTAATGTCGTTAAACTATTCTTTTTTGAATTTTTATTGGTTAAGTATTTATTGTTATATTTGAATGTTGATAGAATTTTTATTTTGTAATGTTTATATTCATGATTTATATGATTTGTTGGCTGCCAATCGTATTANCTTGAAATTTTTTTTTTTAATAAAGAATTTCATTAAAGATCCTTTTTTTTTTATAGAAAATTGATTGAAAATTTATTGGAAAATTTTTTATTAAATTTTATAAATTTTTACTCCTCATCATCTTCCCATCACTTTTTTTCATCTTCCATTGGAACCGGATGCACCATCCGGTTTTTAAACCGGTTCCACCCGTTTTTTTTTACGATTTGGTTCAATCCGGATTCATACTGCAAAAACCGGTTTGCATTTACAGCTGTTTTCATAAGACCTGGGATAAAATAAATTTTTGAACCCGACCGCCGACCCACCGATCCGGTTCAGTTGTTATTTATTTTACAAATCAAACTATTAAATCTGGATCACGTGTCCAGCTAAAAAATACTGGATCGGCAGATCGGCGGATCGGAAAAATTTAGTTTGTCCCAGGTCTTATGGAAACAGCTGTAAAGCGAGTGCAACCGGGTGCTCAACCCGGTGTAATATCGAAACTTTATAGTGCCAGCCCGAATTACGTGATACTGGGTAAATAGTTTAGCCACCGTGATACCTTAAATTTTTGTTATCAGTTATATAGATAATTATGCTACACAATTCCGGAATTGTGTTACACAAGGTTTGTAATTCTGGCCATAATTATAAACTCAGCCATATTTATGCCAATCACATTAATTCTGGCCAAAATTACTGTGTACGGTACACGTGACAAATTCATGCGGGTTGTCGGCAAATAGAATGGGGAATCTTAACCTGTTCAGGGGGTAACGCTTCTGCCTTCTTATCCTGTTCCCCTGCATCAGCTACATCAGCCCCAGCCACATGGATTTATAATACCAGTTATCATTATACGCAATACGCGCGCACTCTTTCTTTTCCTTTTCTTTTTTTTATTTTTTAAATATTTTAAAAGCTTTAAAAAACTAGATAATATTTAATATTGACTTAGATATGAAGTATTATTTATAAAGTTGTGAATATTTTTCACATTTAACACTTTATTTTTGATAACAGACGCGTTTTTTATTTAAAATTTATACCATATAATTTTACAAATAATCTGACTTTTATCAAATTAGCAAAGCTGTTTAACAGGTATGGAACTACTTAGATATTAATTTTCACCAAGCTAGCTTTGATATTTATGAAGTGATACTTATTTTTTGTGATATTTTCGTGCAGTTACTTCGTGGCGTAATTTAAGCAATTTGGCCAAACATAACTGGCCTTTATTGAATAAGTAAAGTTGTTCAAGAGGTATGAGTCTACTTAGATATTAATTTTCATCAGGCTAGCTTGAATATTCGTGAGTTATACTTATTTTTTGTAATATTTTCGTGCAGTTACTTTGTGGCGTAATTTAAGCACTTTGGTCAAATAAAACTGGCCTTTATTGAATAAGTAAAGTTGTTTAATGGGTATGGAACTACTTAGATATGAATTTTCACCAAGTTAGCATGGATATTTGTGAAGTTATACTTATTTTTTGTAATGGAATTTACTGTGCGCGTATGTATTTTTTTATTTTGTAACATAATTTCAGCACTTTTAGTTAAACTAAACTGGCTTTTGTCAATACATAAAATTGTTCAGTAGGTCTACTGAATACTAAAGTTTGTCAATATTTATGAATGAATAAAAGTATTTCTTGGGTTTCTATAAAAATTTTTTGTATTTTATTTTTTATTAAATTTAATAAAGAAATAATTTATTTATCGCACGTGCGATGCAAATTTTTATGTTTATCATTGCCATTTTAAGGGGGGTGGCGATGTATAAGCAGGTTGATCAACATAAATAATTTACAAAAAAGGAAAGTGGCGATGCATCGCACGTGCGATGAATAAATTTACTCTTTAATAAAATACATATTAAACATTTTATTTTAATTTGAAATGTAATGTAATATTAAAAATATTAAAAATATTAAAGATATTGAAATTTTTCATTTTTTTTTTTTTTTTGTTAAATATGAAATTAAAATATTTTTTGAAGTTTTGCATTTTTTTCGCGCGAACGAAAAATATTTCCAAGACATTGCATAAAAAAAAACATCCAATAAATTTTGTGGATGATAATTTCAATTTTAAACCAATTAGTATGGTGCTTCATAGGGTAAATGTTCAAAAATCCCTGGTAAATCTTAGATTTTTAAACAGTATGGTGCTAGGTAAATCCTGGAGGATAACTACCCTGGATGCACCCAGTGTGATCACCTGGGATTTTTGAACAGTATGGCACTTCATAGACAATTTTATTTTTTTGGATCCGGATAATCGTGGTTTTTATCCGAATTTATTTCCGGTTAAAAAATATCCGGTTTTGATCCAGAATCTGGATAATGAAAATAAAAAAAAATTTTTTTAAATGTTTAAATTAGTTTTTTTTTAAAATTTTTATCCAGTGAAGGATTGAAACCAGCTCCCAAAATGAGAATTGACTTTTAGAATCAATCGCATAAGTTTCAATCCTAAAATTTGGTTTATAATTTTGACTTATTGATATTAAGCCATTTTGTGCACCAAAAGTATGCAACAATCTTGATGATCACGGACAAAAAAAAAGTTCCCATTTTCCTAAAAATTTTCAAAAGATCAAACTCCGAAATTAGAGTTTCTAACCGTAAATTTAAGATCTACGATTTAATTAATTAAACACCTCCAATTTAATTAAATTTGTATTATGGAACTTAATTAAACTCAATACCATGAATTAATTTAATATATGCCATGAATTTCCAAATCTATAAAGAAAATTAATTTTAATTCTATCCGGATAAAACCGGATAATTTTTTTAATTTATCCGGTTTCTATCCGGATCGACCGATCGAAACACTACATGTGTAATCAATTTAATTGGTTACACTTTACACGTGATAAAATTCATACTTTCTAATACGAATTCTGATCGTAAATACAATTAAATTCACAACGTAAATAGGTCCCGTATGGGATGCACGATGTTATTGATGTCATTATTAGTCTTATTTTATAATTCTTCTATATGTAATCTAACGTCAACTATTTTAGAAAGTAAAATAAATAAATAAATAAATAAACAATTAAATTCACTAACTGCCACGAGATAAAATAATTCATCTGCATTCGGTATTATTATAAAATTATTTGAGCAACTTATCAAAATCGTCCTGAAATATTTTAAACTAATTTTTTAAGTGATAATTACTAGAAAGTCAATTATAAATTTTCGTTATTATTTATTATTCTTATTGATAGTTTAACAGCATTGATTAGGTTAAATTATTTAAAGTATTAACTAATTTGTTTAATTTAAATTCTATATATATGTGATAAATTATCCCTTAAACTGTAAGCAATTGCGGGCAAATTTGCCCGCAATTTTACCAAATTTCAGCTCTCATCTAATTTTATGAAAAATAAAGCAATTCTAATAAAATTTTTTTCCAAGATAGTTTAAATTATATATTGTGCAGCAATTATTATTATTTATTAATTATATATTAGAAAATCGAAAATTACCCATTGGTCAAAAGTTGTATTTTAAGATAATCACAAAATTTTAAAAAACTTTGCACTTAACTTCGACGATTTCATTGATAATTAATTGTAGCTATATAAAAGCTTAATAGAATATGTATAATTTGGTATGAGAAACGACTTTTGTTAATATGATTTTTGATATTTAAAAGTAGGATTTTGACTTTATATAGAACCTTAATGAAAATTTTATTATGCATTTTAATTATATATTCATAACAATTGATTTTTTTTATCTCTTTATTTTTATTATAAAAATTTTGCATTATAATAAACAAAATAAAGTTATAATAAATATTCAAATAGAGAAAAAATATGGTAAGAAAAGTTTAAATTTTATTATATAAAAATTCCGATACTATTTTTGCGGGTTAATTTCCAATCCAATTTTAATGATCAACTGTATATCT